CAAAAAATTGAACAACATAGACGAATTGGATTAATTCCTAGAAATATAAAACCTACCTAGATTGATTCATGATGAAACAGAAAATCTGAACAGACATATTGCTACTAAGGAGATTGAATCAATAATGGAAAACTTCCCAACAAACAAAAGTCCAGGACCAGATAGCTTCACTGGTGAATTCTACCAAACATTTAAAGATTTAGTACCAATTCTTGGGCCATCCCAGGGGCATAGGGGTTAAGTTAATGTGTTCCACTTTGGTGGCTTGGGGTTTGGAGGTTCAAATCCCACCCAAAAACCTACATACCACTCATCAAGCCATGCTGTGGTGGCTTCCCACATACAAAATAGAGGAAGATTGGCACAGATGTTAGCTCAGAGCCAATCTTTCTCATCAAATAAATAAATAAATAATACACATTCTTCTCAAACTTTTCCAAAAAATTTAAGAGGAGAGAAACCTTCCAACCTCATTTTATGAGTTTACCCTGATACCAAAATGAGGCAAGGACACCACAAAAAAGGAAAGTTATGAGCCAATATCCTTAATGAATTTAACGAAGATAGATGCAAAAATCCTCAGCAAAATGTTAGCAAACCAAATTCAGCAATACATTAAACAGATCATATGCCATGATCAAGTGAGATTTATTCCAAGGATGTAATGATGGTTCAACATCCACAAATCAATTAGCGTGATACATCACATAAACAAAATGAATGGTAAAAATCAAATGATCATCTCAATAAATGCAGAGAAAGCATTTGATAAAACTCAATATCTATTAATGATAAAAACTCTCAACAAAGTGGATATAGAGGGAACATAATTCACCATTGTAAAGGCCATATATGACAAACTCAAAGAATATCATATTCAATGATGAAAAATTGGAAGCTTCCCCGTAAGATCAGGAATAAGACAAGGACACACACTCTTGTCACTTTTATTCAGTATAGTGTTGGAAGTCCTCACCACAGCAATTAGCAAGAAAAAGAAATGAAAGGCATCCAAATTGGAAAGGAAGAAGTAAACTGTCACCGTTTGCAGATGGCATGATACAATACAGAAAACTCTAAACACTTCACCAAAAAACTGCTGGAACAAATAAACACATTCAGTAAAGTTGCAAGATACAAAATCAATACACATAAACCTATGATGTTTCTATACACTAATAACGAGCTATCAGAAAGAGAAATTAAGAAAACAAACCATTTACAATCACATCAAAAACATTAAAATATCTAGGAATAAATTTAACCAAGGAAGCAAAAACCTCTACACTGAAAACTATAACATATTGATGAAAGAAATTGAATAAGACACAAATAAATGAAAAGATATTCCATGTTCATGGATTGGAAGAATTAATACTGTTAAAATGTCCATACTACCCAATGAAATCTACAAATTCAATGCAATCCCTAGCAAAATTCCAATGGCATTTTTCACAGAAATAGACGAAATAACTCTAAAATTTGTATGGAACCACAAAAGAACCCAAATAGCCAAAGCAATCTTGAGAAAGAAGAACAAAGCTGGTGGTATCATGATCTCTGATTTCAAACTATACAACATAGCTATAGTAAACAAAATAGTATGGTATTGACATAAAAACAGACACACAGTTCAATAGAACAGAACAGAGATCCCAGAAATAAACGCATGCATATATGGTCAATTAATTTATGACAAAGGAGCCAAGAACATACAATTGAGAAAAGACTGTCACTTCAATAAATGGTGTTGGGAAAACAGGACAGCCACAAGCAAAAGAATAAAACTGGACCACTGTCTTACCCTGTACTCAAAAATTAACTCAAAGTGTATTTAAGACTTGAATTTGAAACCTGAAACCATAAAATTCAAAAGAAAATCATAGGTAGTAAGCCCCTTGATGTTGCTCTTAGTGATGTTTTTGTGGATATGACAGCAAAGGCAAGGGAAACAAAAGCAAAAATAAACAAATGGGATACATCAAAATAAAAAGCTTCTGTACAGTGAAGGAAATAATCATCAAAACAAAAAGGAAACCCACTGAATGGGAGTAGATATTTCAAATCATATATCTGATAAAGGGTTAATATCCAAAATAAATAAATAATTCATACAATGCAACAATGAAAAAATAAGCAACTAGATTAAAAAATGAGCAGAGAATCTGAATAGAAATTTTCCCAAAGAAAACATAAAAATGGCCAATAGGCACACAAAAAAATGTTCAACATCACTAATTATTAGGAAAATACAAGTCAAAACCACAATGAATTATCACTCAGACCTGTTAGCATGGCCATTATCAAAAAGACAAGAAATAACAAGTGTTGGTGAGGGTGTAGAGAAAAGGGAACTCTTGTACACTGTTGGTGAAAAGGTAAAGTGGTGCAGCCATATGAAAAACGGTATGGAGATTCCTCAAAAAATTAAGACTATAACTACCATATGATGCAGCTATTCCACTTCCAGATATTTATCCAAAAATGATAAAAAGCTAATTCAAAAAGATATATGCACCCTTATGTTCATCGCAGCATTCTTCACAATAGTCAAGACTTGGAAACAACCAAAATGTCCATCGATGGACGAATGGATAAAGAAGACGTGTTATAAGTATACAATGGAATACTATTCAGCCATAAAAAGATGAAGTTTTTCCATTCTGACAACATGGATGGACTTTGAGGGCATTATCCTAAGTGAAATAAGTCAGATCGATAAAGACAAATACTGTATGATTTCTGTCATATGTGGAAGATAAAAAGAAAACAACAACAGCAACAAACAAAGATATAGACACAAAGTACAGATTGGTGGTTACCAGAGGGGAAAGGAGGAGGGGAGATGGCAAAAGAGGTAAAACTACACATGTATATGGTGATGTGAATGTGATGTAATCTACACAGAAATAGAAATAGAACGATGTACACCTGAAATTTATATAATATTACAAACCAATAAAAAATACAAAGTGATCACCGTCAAAAGTATAGTTAGCATCCATCACCATACATCGTCTTCATCCATTTCCCCCACCCCGAACTTATTTCCGCTCTAGTAACCACCAATCTCTTCTCTGTTTCTATGAGTTTGTTTTGTTTGTTGGTTCGTTTTGTTTTGTTTTTTGGATTGCACATATGAGTGAAAAGGGAGCCCTCATACTCTTCTGGTGGGAACGCAAACTGGTACAGTCACTATGAAAAACAGTATGGAGGTTCCTCAAAAATTTAAGAATAGAGGGACCTGCCCGGTGGCACAGTGGTTGTGTTTGTGTGCCCTGCTTCCTCGGCCTGGGGTTTGCTGCTTCGGATCCTGGGTGTGTACCTATGCACTCCTTATCAAGCCATGCTGTGGCAGGCATCCCACATATGAAATAGAGGAAGATGGGCACAGATGTTAGCTCAGGACAAATCTTCCTCAGCAAAAAGAGGAGGATTGGTGGTGTATGTTAGCATCTGAGCAAAGGTTAGCTCAGAGCTAAACTTTCTCAAAAAAAAAAATTAAGACTAGAAATACCACATCATCCAGCTGTTCTATTTCTGGGTGTTTATCCAAAGATCACTTTGCATTGTATACAGGTGTCAAATTATAAAATTGTACACCTGAAACTTATATAATGTTATATGTTAATTTCACCTCAATAAAAAGGTAATAAAGCAGACAGAAAGATTTAAAATGCTGTGAGGAATAGACAACAAAATATAAACTGGTAGCTAGATCATCAAATATAACAATTACATTAAATATGTTGGAGGTACATGAAATTAGCTCTAAGAGGAAATTTTTTTTACTTGTTTAACAAAGTATCCAAAGTGTTGATTATAAGGGGATACATTTAAAACTTAAGAAGAGGAAAGAGATTGAAAGGAAGAAAAATAAAATGCAGATAATAACCAAAAGAAAGCTGGTATAGCTATGTTTATATCAAACACAATGTATTTTAAGATAAAATCATTACTAGAGGTACAGATGGTTCCATTATTAGGAAGGTATACTAATGTAACGTTTTACATAATATCACAAGTTCAAAATAGTTAAAGAAGAAATTATAGTGGAAATAAGAAAATATAGAGTTGATAGATAAATAAAACACTATATTGCCAAACTGATGTGGTGTAGCTAAAGTAATACTTAGAGAAAAATATATAACCATAACTGTGTCTATTTTGAAGACAAGAAAGGCTAAAAGAGAAGCAAGAAATGATATGAGCAACCTCAAGCAGGTTTGGCATAAGATAAAGATAAGACAGATTCCAGTTGATAGCTTCAATTTTTTCTAAAAAATGTGAGTCAAAATAGCGTTGTAAAATTGAGGTAGGAAAGCAAAAATCCCAGGAAATATACTTTATTCATATGTCTTTTCTCTACTGAGAACACTATTTTCTGCTCAATGACACCATCATCTCTCATCTGTCTAGAAATAAGTCAAACGCCTCCTATCACATCATTCAGCTTCCATTCATCACCCCCTAAAATTAGTTCACAGACCAGCCAAAGCTCTCTTATAAATATGAATTATATCGCGCTACTCCTCTTTCTCTTAAAATCTAAGCTCCTTAGAGTGGTTTTTTAATTCCTGATGTGACCTGGTTCCTGCTCTCTCTTTGAGTTTATCCCCCACTATCTTCTCTACTTAGAAATCTTATAATGCAAAAGTGATACTCCTTTTATAACCTATTGCTTTTATTTACGCAAAAAAAAGAATGCTTACTGAATGGCTTTCATTTCACATCATTTTGTAGTCTGAAAATGCTAGATAATTGAAATATTAAGGAAAACCATTAAGGAGAATAAGAATCTCTATGATCTCTATGATACAGTTACATAATCCGAAAGAAAATGTAGAGTTTGTATTTTTTGTGACATTGGCTTCCAATTGGACTTTTACTCAATAAACATAATTTCTGGGGGTCTTATCTAGTCAATATTTAGTGCCTATACATACATCTCTGTATTCTACGTTAAATTTGTTTTTCTTTTATCTACCCTGCACCCATAGGTGGTAACAGCTACCTCAACTCTTGCTTTAGGAATTAATATGCCATGCAAATCTGTTGTTTTTACGGAAGATTCTGTGTTTTTGGATGCCTTGAACTTTCGGCAGGTATTTATAAGACATCCCTTTTGTTACATTTGTGTACGTAGAGATCTAGAACATCTATTCAGTAAGCCAAGATAAACCATGTTTATCCTGAAACGTTTGGGGACCATAAAAATATTTAAAAATAGGTTTTAGATATATGACATTTTATGAAGATGATTATATTTAAGTACATTTTGAATAATCATTGACTGGCTAGATAGATTAATTTTCTTGAGAATTTCCCTGCTTTGGTAAATATTACTGAACTTAAAAAAAAAGTCTGAAGAAGAGGTAAGCACATCTTCTGAGCGCCCAGTTGGTGCCATGCACCAACAACTATAAATTGAGTGTCTACAAACGTTCTCCATTCAGACTAGTTTCTGGAAATGCATTGGTAAAGAAGACAGTAAATCCTCCTGCTTTAAAAGTCATCATCTTTAAACATAAGCATTACTCAAAAAGCAAACGTATTTTAATAATATATTTGTAAAATAAAATAATATTTTAAACTTTGCTAAAATTAACATTCCAAGCAACAAAGAACTCTTTCAAGATTTTGAAAGTTTAATGCTCCAGCTGGTATAGGTTAGTTAGACATTAACCATTTACAAAGACAAGATTTGAAATGATTTAAAAGTTACGTGAACGTCTCTTTAGATGTCGGGTCGTGCAGGAAGACGTGGAGAAGATCTCATAGGAAATGTGTTCTTCTATGATATTCCGTTACCCAAGATACAAAGGCTCTTAAAGTCGAATGTGCCCAAACTGAAGGGTCAGTTTCCTCTAAGCATATCCTTGGTTCTCAGACTTATGCTGTTAGTTGCCAAAGCAAATGACAAAGAGGATGCCAAAGCCAAGGTACTCTGTTTCATACTATTTAAATTAGCTTAATAAATGTAACAATTTCAGCTCAATTTTATAATAAACTACGTTAGTTATATAAGCTGAAGTGAATAAAAAAACAATGTGTTTTAAATAAACTCACTGTAACATTTGATTCTACTTTACAGTACCCTTAGTCAACGCAAAAATGTGCCTTTAACTTTCATGCTTTCAAACAAGGAAAATTAACCTTATGATATTCCAATTAACATTACCCCTGGGCTCTGTACATATTAGAAAAGAAACCTTTTTTTTCTGTAAATATGTCTGGTCTAAAACATATTAAAAATCAAATTTCAAAGAAATAACTAATAGTTGAAAATGACAAGATACTGAAATGTTCATAATTCTTTGTTTTACATTTTTATACCTTATGTTTACTTCTCACCTGTCATGTGTAAAGTTGTAATTATTCATCTCTTTCTCTAAATTTCTCTTACCAGTGTCTATTAAACAAATGCATATATAATAAAAACATTATGGATGAAATGATTATAATAAATAATATAATAGAGCAATATGCAATGCCAAATTTAAAAATGTAAAAATAGAGGCTGGCTCCTTGGCCTAGTGTGGACATGTACCACTCATGAGTGGCCACGTTATGATGGCAGCCTACAGACAAAATAAAGGAAGGTTGGCACAGATGTTAGCTCAGGGTGAATCTTCCTCAGGGGAAAAAAAAGAAAATTAAAAAAATGTAAAAATATATTATACATTACGTATAGTACATAAGTATATATAATACCATGTTCCATAATAGAAATGCCTAATTGTCCTTTGGATATTTCATTTAGAAGACACACTATAAATTCCGCTTAATATCTAACTTGATGTTTTGATGTATGTATGTATAGGCATTATCAGTTCTCCAGCATTCATTGATGTCCTTCAAGCGACCAAAGATTGAGTGCATGTTAAAATTTTACTTCATATATTCTTTGCAATTCTTGGTCACAGAGGTAAGGTTTAAATGTATTTCCACTAAATTAAGATATTAGTACACAGTTTTAATTCTACTGTACTGAAATCTCCTATGTTAATGACTTATTTGTTTGATATTTCTGAGATGTAGAGACTGAGGTTAATGTGTTAAAACTGATTTCTAGGGATACCTGAATGAAAAATGTGTTCCCATTGGATATACTGGACTTGTGTCCCATTTGCACTACCATGAACCTGCAAATTTCGTTTTAGTAAGCTTGCTGGTAAAAGGTTTATTTCACAAGTTGTGTATTCCAATCAGCATAGACGGTAAGCAAGTATTCTTTCCCCACACTTCTACTCATTGAATGGTGTGTGCTAACACACACACACTCACACACACAGAGCCCACACATTTGTATTTACATATACCCACACATTCCCCAGAACTTCACTCACTTTGTATGGTATGTAATTTCTAACTGCTTTTTCTCTTAATGTATTTTGAACATTTTTCTTATTTTTATATTATTAAATATGTTTATAAAAACATCAATATAAATGTGGTGTATTTTTAAATATGTATCCTATAAATGTAAATACTCTCAATGATCATTTCATATAGTTTAGATTTTTAAAAATAAACCCTTAGAATAATAAACATTATTTTTCTGAAATCACAAGATTTTTAATGCATATCAATTGAAATAAATTACACTAATATATGTAAAATCACTAATTTTATCCTTTTTATATCTGGTCATTGACATGAAAACCGGCTTCTTTATGATATCTCACATTTAGGTCCTAATCATTAGCTGTATCATAGTAAGATATGAAGTTACAGTTAGAAGTCAAGTATAGATTATAGAAATATATTGGTATCACAATATCGTCATCTGTAATCACTTCTTTTTTTTAATTATAAAGTATTTTTCCCTTTTTCCTAACTGTAAGATAATGCCATCAGCTAGAGAGAAATATAAAGTGATGTAATCCAAACTCAAATGATGACATCTGAGACCTGGACTATATAATTAATATTCTGCTATTCATTTTATTTTCAGTAAATTATCAACATTTGTTATAATAATATGAAATAATTAAAATATTATATAACATACCTTAGAACTACTAACGGATCAAACCATAAAGCCTTTAATCCCCATTAATCTATATTTTTTCATGAAAGGATCATAGAACGTAATCATCACTGAATTTTACTAATTTCACAAGTATTGTGTGAAGTGTATCACAATGTTAAAGAAATAAAAACACAGAATTTGCCATGATGCTGTCAGTGTAAATACATCAAGTTGACTCTTTTTCCCCACGAAGCTGGACAGCTCCACTCTTCGTGCTCACAGTTCTCCAGCAGTGGGAGGCAGTCATTTTCTCATTCATTACTGACTACTGATTAGGTGGCTATCCGTGTGGGCATGACACTCTGCTAAATACGGTGGCAGATTGTAAATCAGGAATCAGACGTAGGTTTTCCCTCAAGGAGATTTAATCCCTAAAATACTACAGGCAATTGGGCTTATGAAAATATAGGAAATAAAAAATATTCCAGGGAGAGAAAAATATCAGGAGGAAAAGCACGTCATTGGAGCAGTTGTGAGCTCTTTTTGGACTGTTACATGTGCCAAAGAGAGAGTGGTTTGGGATAATGTATGGTCTCTTATGGCAGACAAAGAATTTGGAAAGCAGCATAAGGCCTTCACTCATCAGTGGGTTTTGAACAGAGTTGAAAAAACTGAGTGGAACAGATTGAACAAAGGGAATGTTTGAAGCCCATGATGGAATCTGGGGCAATTCTGGAACTAAAGGGCAAACGGCTGTTTATTTCTTTTTTAGGTACTTACAGCTAACAGTAGATACAATGATACCAACAATCTATGTCAGTAGGAGTTCTATTAGTCTGCATTGTTACAAAGTAATATTGTACTTTATTATAGGTTCACCAAAAATCTGGATAGTGACTTACCTTGAAATTTTAAGTTTAGGTATTAAGAACTGGCAAAGTGTTTTTATGAAATGACAAATTTTGTTCTACAAAGTTTTGAAAAATTAAACTCTTTAAACAGGCCGAAAGACATTTTCTGAAGATGTGATGGAAACCTTAGTGGTGGTGTTAGCAAATCTTTTTGGAAGACGTTATCTTCCTCCTTGTGTGGAAAACTTTAAAAAGAAATTTTCTCCCTCAATAGTAAGAAAAAATATATTTTGCAATCTTGTAATTTTATGGTAAATCTTTACATTATAACATGCATTGCAATTGTATTTTACCTATAACAAGAGTTTTGCTGTCATTCACTAGTTACTTCTTTGTCATGCCTCAGTCAGTTCTTAGTATGTATGAGTTCTTTTTTTTTAATTAACATTGATTTATAATATTATATAAATTTCAGGTGTACATCATTATATTTCTATTTCTGTGTGGACTATATCATGTTCACCACTCAAAGACTAATTACATCCATCATCGTACACATGTGCCTTTTCACTCCTTTCACTCTCCCCCCACCCCATTCCCCTCTGATAACCACCAACCTAATTGCTGTATCTATGTGTTTATTTGTTGTTGCTGTTGTTGTTTTTATCTTCCACTTATGAGTGAAATAATATGGCATTTGACTTTCTCTGTCTGACTTATTTTGCTGAACATAATACACTTGAGGTCCATCCATGTTGTTGCAAGCGGCAAGATTTCATTTTTTAAGACTGAGTAGTATTCCATTGTGTATATATACTGCATCTTCTTTATCCATTCATCCCTTGATAAATGCTTGGGTTGTTTCCAAGTCTTGGCTATTATGAATAATGCTGCAATGAGCATAGGGTGCAAATATCTTTGCATTCATGTTTTCGTGTTCTTTGGATAAACACGCAGAAGTGGACTATCTGGATCATATGGTATTTGTATTCTTAATTTTTTGAGGAATCTCCATACTGCTTTCTGTAGTGGCTGCACCAGTTTACATTCCCACAAGCAATGCATGAGTGTTCCCTTTTCTCCATATTCTCTACAACACTGGTTGTTTCTTGTTAATTATAGCCATTCTGACAGGCGAGAGGTGATATATCATTGTAGTTTTGACCTGCATTTCCCTAATGATTAATGATGAACATCTTTTCATGTGCCTGTTGGCCATCTGTATATCTTTGGAAAAACGCCTGTTCAGATCCTTTGCCCATTTCTTAATTGCATTATTTTTTGTCATTGAGTTGTATGAGTTCTTTGTATATTTTGGATGTTAGCTCTTTATCAGATACATGATTGGCAAATATATTGTCCCAGTTGTTACATTGTCTTTTCCTTTTGTCGATGGTTTCCTTTGCTATGCAGAAGCATTTTAGTTTGACGTAGTCCCATTTATTTTTTCTTTTGTTTCTTTTGCCTAAGTAGGCATGGTATTCACATAGGTACTGCTAAGACCTATGTCAAAGAGCATATGCCTATGTTTTCTTCTAGAATTTTTATGGTTTCCGGTCTTACATTCAAGTCTTTAATCCATTTGAGTTAAGTTTTGTATATGGTGTAAGATAATGGTCTATTTTCATTCTTTTGCACGTGGCTGTCCAGTTTTCCCAACACTGTTTGTTGAAGAGACTTTCCTTTCTGCATTGTATATTCATGGCTCCTTTGTCAAAATTAGCTGTCCATACATGTGGGAACTTATTTCTGGGCTCTTAATTCTGTTTCATTGATCTGTGTGTCTGTTTTTCTGCCAGCACTATGCGGTTTTGATTACTATAGCTTTGTAGGATGTTTTGAAAATCAGGGAGTACAATACCTCCAGCTTTGTTCTTTTTTCTCAGAATTCCTTTAGCTATTCAGGGTCTCATGTTGTTCCATATAGATTGTAGAATTCTTTGTTCTATTTCTGTGGAAATTGTTGCTGGGACTTTAATAGGGATTGCTTTGAATCTTTAGATTACTTTAGGAAGTATGAACATTTTAACTATGTTTATTCTTCCAATCCACAAGCAGGGAATACCTTTCCATTTCTTTGTGTCTTATTTGTTTTTTTCAACATGTTTTATAGTTTTAAGTGTACGGGTCTTTTACCTCTTTGGTTAACTTTATTCTAAGGTGATTGGGTAAAATTATTCTGCTGTGATTGTAAATGGGATTGTATTCTTAATTCCTCTTTCTGCTATTTCATTGTTAGCATATAGAAACATGACTGATTGTATATGTTGATTTTCTATCTTGCTACTTTACTGCATTCATTTATTGTTCCTAATAGTTTTTTGGTGGGTGCTTTGGATTTTTCTATACATAAAATCATGTAATTTGCAAGTAGTGACAGTTTTACTTCTTCCTTTCTAATTTGGATCCTTCTTTTCTTTTTCTTGCCTGATTGCTCTGGCTAGAACTTCCAATACTATGTTAAATAAAAGCAGCAAAAGTGGGCGTCCTTGTCTTGTTCTTGTTCTTAGAAGGACAGCTTTCAGTTTTCACAATTGAGTATGATGTTAGCTGTGGGTTTGTCATATAAGGCCTTTATTATTTTGAGATACTTTCCATGTATACCTGTTTTATTCAGTCTTTATCATAAATGGATGCTGTATCTTGTCAAATGTTTTCTCTGCATCTATTAAGATGAGCTGTCGGTGTTGCAATCCAATGTACACATCGGGATAGATGCGGAGAGGGCTGATGGCCACTCTGAGTTTATTATAACCAGCATTTCAATATATACATAGCTTACATCTGTTAAACATACACCGGAGTTCTGGACAATGTAATTAGCGAATGCCAAGAATTCTTAGTGATTTCTCAAGGAGCCCTCCCTTGGCCTCTGTTTTGATATTATCATGTTATTGCTGTGCTCATATATTTTATCTCGGAGCATGCAAGACCTCCTAGGCAACAGTCCCTCCTGCTCACGATATCGTGTCTCCATCTGTGCCACTGGGCGACCAGTGCCTGGCTTAGGTTGCCTCCCCTGGGAGGTCTTACCCATCATTGGCTAACTGGCCTTCTCACCTCTGGGTCACAGTTTGTTGGCAAGCCTTTTCCAGTGATTATTAACCCTTCCTGTGTCAGGGGCATGTGATTTGTATTCTTCATTTTGTTAATGTGGTGTATCACATTGATTTATGGATGTTGAACCATCTCTGCGTCACTGGAATAAATCTCACTAGATCATGGTGCATGATCTTTTTAACATGTTGTTGTATTCAATTTTGATAGTATTTTCTTGAGGATTTTTGCATTTATGTTCATCGTTGATATTGGTCTATCATTTTCTTTTTTTCTGCTGTCCTTTTCTGGTTTTAGTCTCAGGGTAATTTTGGCCTTGAAGAATGAGTTAGGAAGTGTCCCCATCCTCCTCAATCTTTTGGAAGAGTTTGATAAGGAGAGGTATTAAGTCTTCTTTGAGTGTTTGAAAGAATTCATCGAGGAAGCTTTCTGGTCTTGGACTTGGGTTCTTTGGGAGGTTTTGATTCCTGTGTTGATCTCCTTACTGGTGATTGGTCTATTCCAATTCTCTATTGCTTCTTGATTCAGTTTTGGAAAGTTGTATGATTCTAAGAGTTTATCCATTTACTCTAGATTATTGAATTGGTTGGTGTATAGGTTTTCCTAGAATTCCCTTATAATCCTTGTATTTCTGTGGTGTCTGTTATAATTTCTTCTGTTTCCTTTCTGATTTTATTTATTCGAGACTTCTGTCTTTTTTTTCTGAGTGAATCTAGATAAAGGTTCGCCAATTTTGTTTATCTTTCCAAAGAACTATCTTTTAGTTTCATTGATCTTTTCTATTGTCTTTTAGTCTCTATTTCATTTATTTCCACTCTGATTTTTATTACTTCCTTCCTTCTACTAACTTTGGGCTTTGTTTGCTCTTCTTTTTCTAGTTCCTTTAGGTGTACTGTTAGGTTGTTTAGTTGAGATTTTTATTGTTTTTTGAGGTAGACCTGTATTGCTATAATTTTCCCCCCAATACCACTTTTGTTATATTCCATAAATTTGGGTATGTTGTATTTTAATTTTCATCTGTCTCCAGGTAATTTTTGATTTCTTCTTTGCTTTCTTCATTGACCCAATAGTTGTTCAGTAGCATTTTGTTTAATCTCTACACATTTGGGACTTTTCCAGTTTTCTTCTTGTAGTTGATTTCTAGTTTCATATCATTTTGGTCAGAAAATATGCTTGATATTATTTCAGTCTTCTTAAATCTTTTGAGAGTTGCTTTGTGGCCTAATATGTGATCTGTCCTGTAGAATGTTCCATGTGCATTTGAAAAGAATATGTATTCTGCAGTTTTTGGATGGAGCATTCTGTATACATGTATGAAGTCCATCTCGTCTACTGTGTCATTTAAGGCCAGTGTTTCCTTATTGATCTTCTGTTTAGATGTCCATTGATGTAAGTGGAATGTTAAAGTCCTCTACTCTTATTGTGTTGCTGTCTATTTCTCCTTTTATGTCTGTGGATAATGCCATTATATATTTAGGTGCTCCTATGTTGCGTACATAGATATTTAAAAGTGTTATGTCCTATTGTTGGATTGTTCCCTTTATTATTATGTAGTGCTTGTCTTTGTCTCTTATTATAGGTTTTGTTTTAAGATCTATTTTGTCTGATATAAGTATTGATATCCCAGCTTTCTTTTCTTTGCCATTTTCATGGAATATCTTTTTCCATCCCTTCACTTTCAGTTTGTGAGTGTCTTTAGGTCTGAAATGTGTCTCTCATATGCGGCATATATATGGGTCTTGTTTCTTTTATCCATCAGCTACCCTATGCCTTTTGATTGGAGCATTTAGTCCATTTACATTTAAAGTAGCTATTGATAAGAATATGCTTATTGCCATTTTGTTATTTTTTTTTCTGGGTGTTTTAGTAGTTCTCCTTTCCTTTCTTCTCTTGCTCTCTTCCTTTGTGGTTTGATGGTTTTCTTTAGTATTATGTTTGGGTTCTTTTCTCTTAATTTTTTTGAGTATTTGTTATAGGTTTCTGGTTTGTTATTACCATGTGTTTCACATATAATAACCTATGTAAACAGCAATCTATATTAAGCTAATGGTCTTTTAAGTTTGACCTCTTACTAAAAGCCCTACACTTTTACTCCCCTCTTCCCACATTTTATGTTTTTGATATCATATTTAACCCTTTTTTTTTGGTGTGTCTATCCCTTAATGTCTTATTATGTAGATAGATATTTTTAGTCCTTTTGTCTTTTGACTTTCATACTAGCTTTATAGGCAATTGATCTACTACCTTTACTGTATATTTGGCTTTACGAGTGACTTTTGTCTTTGAGAATTTTATTATTCCTATTTGTGGTCTTTTATTTTACACTTAAATAAGTTCCTTTAACATTTCTTATAAGGTCAATTTAGTGGTGATAAACTCCTGTAGCTTTTACTTTTCTGGAAAACTGTTTTATCTCTCCTTCCATTCTGAGTGATAACCTTGTTGGGTAGAGTATTCTTTACTGTAAGTTTTTTCCTTTCAGCAATTTGAATATATCATGCCACTCCCTTCTAGCCTGTAAGATTTCTGCTAAGAAGTCACCTGATAGCCTTGTGGGGTTTCTTTTGTATGTAACTTATTGCCTTTCTCTTGTGGCTTTTAGGATTCTCTCTTTATTTTTAATTCTTGACATATTAGTTATGAGGTGTCTTGGTGTGGGTCTCTTTGGGTTCATCTTGTTTGGTGATCTCTATGATTCCTGTACCTGAATGTCTGTTTCCTTCTTCAGATTGGGGAAGTTTTCAGCTAATATTTCTTGAAATAGATTCTCTGCCCCTTTGTCTCTCTCTTCTCCTTCTGGGACACTTATAATATGGTTGTTAGTGTGCTTGATGTTGTCCCAGAGGTCCCTTAGGCTGCCCTCATTCTTGTTTATTTTTTTTTCCTTTTTCCTGTTTTGCTTGAGTGGTTTCCTCTACTCTTTCATCCAGATCACTGATCCATTCTTCTGTGTCATCTACTCTGCTGTTAATTACCTCTAGTGAATTTTCATTTACATTATTATATTCTTTTGTTCTGATTGTTTTTTTTCTATATTTTTGATTCTTTGTTGAAATTCTCACTCTGTTCATCTGTTCTTCCCCTAAGATCAGTGAGCATCCTTATGACTACTAGTTTGCACTCTTAATCAGGTAGATTGTTTTTCTCTTTTGCATTTAGTTCTTCTTCTGAGGATTTGTCCTGTTCCCTTGTTTGGAATATATTTCTTTGTCTCCTCATTTTTCCCACTTCTCTGTGCTTATTTCTAGGTATTAGGTAAATCAGCTACATCTCCTGATCTTGGAAATGTGGCCTTCTGTAAGTGATGTCTTATGGGACTGAGCAATGTGCTTCCCTCTCGTCACCTATTCCAAATATTGCAGGAGTATCCTGTGTAGGCTATGTTTGCCTTTCTGTTGTGGTGGGGATGCTCTTGCTGCAGGTGCATGGGTAGGCTAGGCTGGCACCCCAGGCTGGCCGTTTGTAAGGCTCACTCATGTGCAGCTGCTATGGTCACTTTACTGGGTGGGGCAAGATCTATCACAGCTGGCTGCAAAGTCTAATAGCTCATAGCTGCTGCTGTTTTGCTACTAAGTGAGTCAGTCCCCCAGTGTGGCTGTTTGCTAGGCTCAGGGGCTTAGAATTGATGCAGGTCTCCATTTTGGTCCCCTGTGGTATCCGCTTTCTCAAGAGAGCAGATGGTTGGGGTTGGCCCCAGGGTCAGCAGTACACAATCATTTAAGGCATTGGAATGTGGGGCAGATATCCTGTGTGGCTGTTTAAAATCTTCAGCAGCATGAGTGTGCTGTGGCCAACATGCCCCATGACCTATAGGCCCACGCACCCCATCAGTGCAGAGCTGCCTCACATACATGCCCCACCAAGGCAGACCCATTTGCCCCACTGCTGCAGAGGCCTCACACACCCCACTTACACAGGCCCACAAGTTCACCATGGGCTTGCTGGTGGGCAGGGCCAGTCCTTCCAGCCTCCTGCTCTGGCTGCACTCAGTTGAATCTGAATTGCTTTCTCCGGTGGGTGGGGCAAACCTCTGCGCTAATAGGCTGGAGGAAGGAATCCAATGGCATCTGCCAGTGTCTATATCAACATGACTGAACTGGGTCACAAAAATGGCTGCTGCCAGTGTCTTAGTCCCTGGGGGGGTGGGCCCAGCCATGTCTTGCTTCTTTGAGATGCACTCAGAGCTTAGTAATTGAGTCTCTTTTACCAATGGACTATGCACTTTTCTTATGTTTTTGTGTTGGTTTCCAGAACGGATGAATCTGTGTGTGGGCCCTTAAGAGCAGGTTTTCTTTGTTTGAAATTTGATAGTTTTTCTAGGGGTACTCTTCATTGGTTTTCAAAGCCAGCAAAACCAGGTATTATGAGATCTTGTCTCAATTGTGCTGAATCTAAAGGCTGGGATGCCTATTGGGGCATTGATTTCCCACTCATATCCCCTCCACTCCTCCAGGAAAAGCTGCTTGTACCTTTAAGATTGCTCCCTGCTGTGAAGCACTGTGGGTGGAATGTGTTTTTTTCCCTTAGCAGAGGTATATTTCTGTCTCTTCCACCCCTCTCAGTTTTGTCCCTTCTTGTAGGGGTTCTTTTAATCCAGCTTCCGGTTCTCTCTCAGAGGAAATTGTTCCACAGGTAGCTGTAGATTTGTTGTGTAGATCTTACAGGAGATGAGTTCAGAATCTTCCTATGGCACCATCTTCCCAGGATCCCTACAATGACTTCTTAGATGAGGAAATGATTGAAATCTTCTTTAAAATGGAAATTTTTTTCCTGATAAAGTTTTTTAGCAAGCTAGTAACAGGATTTTTTATGACATTGAAGACTATCTCAAACAACATTACATTCAGTAGTGACATAATAGCCACAGTAACATTTATATTTGAAACAAGAAGACGTGACTGTTCAGTTTAACAGCCATTTGAAAATATTGTTCCAGGAATTCTACTCATTGTCAAATGACAAGAAATAAAAATATGACATAACTATTGGAAAGATAAGCATAGTGATCATGAAGTATGATAGAGTAATTTAAAGCCAGATACTTGGACATCTTCCCATCTCTGCCACTTAGCACACAGGTGGCCTTAAGCTAATTTCTTTACCCAGGCCTCTTTCTTATCTGTAAACTAGGAATCATAATAATACCTACTTCAAAGGATTACTGTGATGATTGCATGAACTAATATAGGCAAAGTGCTTAGAACAGGGCTTGGCCATGTTGAGGTGGCGTCCCACATCCCACAACTAGAAGGACCTGCAACTAAGATATACAACTGTATACGGGGGGCGGGGGGTTGGGGAGATAAAGCAGGAAAAAAAATATTTTGAGCTTGTGCCTCACAGACTGGTAATCCTCTGCTCTTGTTTTGAATAATTACATTCATCTATTTCACTGATCTTAGGTAACTCTAGATGATCTTCCCAAGGACTTTGCTGCAGTAGTAGAGGAGCACAATAACAGAATGCAAGGGAATTTTGGTTCCTTCCTCCTAACAATTTCTAAGTTGGCTGACATGAGAAAAGAATATCAACTACCTCTCTCAGAAATTGGTAAGATTGTGAATGTGCATAAAGAAAATGTGAAGTAAAAAGAAAATAAGTGTAAATATTTTGAGATAAAACTAAATTTTGGAAAATAAGGACAAAACTATTCCAAAAAGAATACACAGGAAACTAACATAATCCTTCAGATCTATGCTGCGGAAATTTTATACTGAAAACTTCTTGTATTATTTGGAGTCAGCTAAGCCACCATGAATTTGATTTGACACTAAATACTCAAAATATTTCTATATTTTCTAGTGCCATTATGAACTAACAGACCATTGCATGATCTAAATTTATTTTAAAATATCCCGTGTCCTATTGATGCTATTTATCTTTCAGTAGATATCGGCACTCTCAACTAGTTACATTTTCAAATCTGAATTAACTTATATAAGAAAAGGAATTTTGTTATGTTTCTATGGGTCATCAGTATGTTGTACTTCCTTAAGTACTATAGGAGACAACAAAAAAGTTAAGGCATTGTCAATGTCTTTAGGAAAGGACAGAATAAATGAAAAAGAAAATAACAAAAATATAAGGAAATTCTGTAATCTATGCCAGATAAAGTAAAGGCATTGGAAGTAGAGAGTACACTCAGTTCCCTAAGATGAAAAGATGGAAAGAAGGAGAGAGAGCTAAGAGGAAAATAGGAAGTGGCAGAATTCTGTTTTCCCTCACTTCCAGAAGAACCAAGGAGAAAAAATTGGAGTAGTAAGCACTGCTTTAGATTACTCATATCTCTGGATAGATTATTATATTGAGATGTAGAAGGCTTATGAAGGACAGAGAGAAGATGATCACCTTATTTCATCACAGAATAAGAAATTAGCTAGTCATGAGCAAACGGCATGGAAAAGAACCTAAATGCTCCTGGGTGATTGCCTATATTTAGGAGTTAGAGGAGTGAGTACAATGCTCCTTCTTCTCTATTTTTCTCTGGGATAATTTCTGTGCTAGGCAAAATAATGCCCACCCCAAAGATGTCTCGGTCTTAATCCTAGGAACTTGTAATATGTTATGTTATGTAGCAAAGGGGGAATTAAAATTACAGATTGAATTAAATTTTCTAATCAGCTGACCTTGAGATGAAGAGATTATCCTGGATTATCTGAGTGGACCTAATGTGATCACAAGGGTCCTTACAAGTAAAAGATGGAGGCAGGAGAATCAAAGTTAGTTAGAGAGATGTGCTATGAGAAAGATTTAACAGAGCATTGCTGACTTTGGAGTTGGAAGGAGGCCATGAGCCAAGGAATGCTTGGCAACCTATAGAAGTTGGAAAAGGCAAAGAAATAGATTCTCCCCTATAGCTTCCAGGAGGAAAAATCACAGCTCTGACTATACCTTGGTTTTAGCCCAATGAGACCCATTTCAGACTTCTGACTTCCAACACTGTAAGATAATAAACTTGGGTTGTGTTAAGCCACAAAGTTTGTGGTAATTTTTTACATTAGAATTAGGAAACTAACACAACTTCTAAGAAAAGAGACATGTGAATCAAAAAGAGTGACAAATAATAGGCAATATTTTTTCCTATTTTTTAATAGTTGAGATGAAATTCATAGAACAATTAATCCTTTCAAAGTATATAATTCTGTGGCATTTGCTGTGGTAAAAATGTTGTGCAACCACCACCTCTATATAATTTTAAAAAATAGTGTTAGATAATCATAACTGTTAAAAATTGTAGGATTACTTATTAATAAATCCAAGTCATGCACTTAATTTGGGGAGGCTTAAGGATCAGACATTAAATCCTTGTATTTCTCTTCTAAACTTGGGGTCAATTGGACAATTAACATGGGAGTAATATGGATGGAGCTGAATTAGAGAGCATAGTTTTCATTTTCAGTCAAACGTGTTCCATAGAGCACAGCCCTGAGTTAAACGGCAGTTGCCTGCCCACCAAATGAAACAGCAGTGTCCCTCTCTTGTAAATTCTATCCTCTATGTTACTACACAATAGAGAAAATACTAGAATGCATCCTCTTAGTAGTCAGGTGGATCTGAAACAGAGAGAGAAAGACAGAAAGAAAGGGACAGACAGAAAGACGGACAGAGGCAGACACAGAGAAGTGTGTGGGAAAGCCACAAATAAAGAAAGAAAGAGAAAGAGAGAGAAACAAAGACAGAAATACAGACAATCAGGGAGAGAGAAGCGGAGAGAGATGAGACACAAACAGAGACAGAGAATTAGAGAAATAGAAAGAGAGGACAAGTACATAGACAAAAATATGGGAGAAAGACAGACATAGAAAGAGATTAACAGAGACAGATACACTAAGAGAATGAGACAGAAAAAAGAGAGACAACAATACAGAAAAAGTAAAGAGGTAAAGAGGAACAAACAAGACAAAGAGAGATAGAGTGAGAGTAACAGAAGAGTGTCAGTGAGCCATTCAAAGAGAAACAATGAGACACACAGAGACAAGAGTGTTATTGTCAGAGAAAGAAGTCAGAGAAGAAGGAAGGAAGGACTGGAGGGAGGCTGGGAGGGGAGGGGAGAGAGAGACAGAGAAAGAGAGAGAGAGAACAATTTGAGCCGGACATGACAACAGCTCCTAAATTCACCACACAGGCCTGGGGTGATGAGTGAGCTTGACAAGAGCTAGAAATTTTCCTCTATTACTTTTCTCTCTTGGCAACTGTAGTAGGAATTTCTTCCCTTCTCTTGGAATATGAATAGTAGAGTTAGCATAAGAATGTGGGCAATGGTGCCAATTCTAACTCCGGTATGAGAAATTTTGCAGTTTTTCTAGCTCTATAGCATCTTTAGAGGAATTTAATAATGAAACATTTTAAAAGACAGGTGGATGGTGTTGGGTTTTGACCTGGGATCCTCAGATCCACTAGTGTCCAATGAAGCATGTTTCCTACTTTGTAAATAGTTTCTATCTAATTTCTAAGGGGATAGATTGAGTTTTCCATCTGGACCAAGTGCCGAGTACAAATAATAGCACCAGTGGCAGATGCCAGCATGAATTCAGTGTAGGAAGAAAACCTCCCCAGTCAGGATCCAGCAATACAACTCTTAAATTTTCATTTTAAATATTTTTCTTTAAAAAAATCAATAATTTTCCTAGGAACAATGGTATAAACCAGTATGGTTTGTTTTAAATAATTCGTATTTTAACTGGGAGAACAGTTTTCAATTCATTTTCTGTTTGATTTTCCAATTCATTTCTTATTAGACTTTTCAGGTAAAGAATGTGAAGACTCTGAACTGGTCTCTCATTTGATGCCTGGGGCTGAAAGCAGAACTGCTGTCTCCCCATTTGCTTGCCTGTCCAACATAACGGATCAAGATTTATTTGACATTAATGTGGTAAATGATGTATGTGAATTTTTGTGCGAAACTTTCTTTTATTCTGTTTATTCATTTAAAACAAATAATTTTTACAGGATTATTACACTAACAAAGTGTCCAGTAAAACAAAGTCATCTTACTCTTATTCCAGAACAAGAGTGCTTTTCACTGAAGTGGGAAATTTTTTTTTTTTTTTACTATTTGAGTAGTTTTAAAATAGAAAACTTGAGTTATGTGAGGAAAAGAACATTACTTTCTACTTAATTATCATGTATGAATTGCATCGTACTATGTGAATCACTATACCACAAGCTCTTGCCACTCCAGGTGTGAACCAAACAGCAGCAACATCAGTATCACTTGCTAGAAATGATGAATCTTGGGAATCATCTCAGAGCTATTAAAGTTCAAAATTCACATTAACATTTGAGAAGCCCTGCTATAAACCATTTGAGGGCAGTTTGTGTTTAATTGTCTTCATTTTTGTGATCCCTGCACCTAAAAGTGGTATGTGATACAGAGTAGAAACTCAATAAACATATATAAAACACTCTAATTTTTTTCTTATAATTACATTTTTTATTGAGGTAACATTCACTTATAACATTTTATAAATTTCAGGCACATCATTACATTTTGACTTTTGTATAGACTACATTGTGTTCATCACTAAAAGTCTAATTGCCATCCATCACTGTATAGATATGCCTCTTTACCCTTTTGGCCCTCTTTGCACCTCCCTTCCCCTGTAGTAGCCACAAATCTGTTCTCTGTTTCGATGCATTTGTTTGCTGTTTTTAAATCTTCCACATATGGCTGAAATCATATGGTATCTGTTTTCCTCTTTCTGACTTATTTTGCTTAACAGAAAGTTAAACAAAATGTGGAGACAGGGGAAAATGGTCCAAATGAAAGAAAAAGATATATGCTCTCCCCAAAAACACTAATGAAATGGAGATAAGTAACTTACCTGATAAAGAGTTCAAAGTAATGGCTATAAAGGTGCTGACTGAACTCAGGAGAAGACTGGAGGAACACAATGAGAAGAACTTCAACAGAGTTAGAAAATATAAGAAAGATCCAATCAGAGCTAAAAAATACAATAACTGAAATGAAAAATACATGAGGGAATCAACAGTGGATTAGATGATGCAGAAGGTGGATCAGTGATCTGAAGACAAAATAGGATAAATTATCCAATCAGAAGAGCAAACAGAAAAAAATTTTTAAAAATGAGGATAGTTTAAGGGACCTCTGGGACAACATCAAGCATACTAACATTTGCATTATAGGGGAAGAGAGAGAGAAAGGGGCAGAAAACATATTTGTGAAGAAATAATGACTGAATACTTTGCTAATCTGGGGAAGGAAACAGACATCTAGGTCCAGGAAGCAGAGAGAGTCTCAAACAAGATGAGGGTAAAGATCCACATCAAGACACATTATAATTAAAATAGAACAAGTTAAAGACAAAGAGAATCTTAAAGTCAGCAAGAGAAAAACAATAAGTCACATACAAAGAAACTCCCATAAGACTATCCACTATTTTTCAGGAGAAACTTGGCAGGCCACAAGGGAATGACATGATATTTTTAAAGTACTAAAAGCAAAAACCTTACAAACAGGAATACTCAAGCTGACAAAGCTATCATTCAGAATGGAATGAGAGATAAAGAGTTTCCCAGACAAGCAAAAACTAAAGGAGTTCATCACCACTAAACTGGCCTTACAAGAAATGTTATAGGGTTTCTTTAAGTGGAAAAGAAAAGAACTAGAAATAGGAAAATATATGAAAGAAAAAATATCATGATAAATGAAAGTATTTAGTAAAGGCAATGAATCAGTCATTTAAAAAGCTAGTATGAAGGTTAAAAGACAAAAGTAGTAAAATGAATTATAACTACAATAAGTAGATAAAAGATACACAAAATAAAATTGTAAAATATGACATCAGAAACACAAAACACAGAGGGGGGTATACTAAAAATGTAGTGCTTTTAGAATATGTTCAAGCTTAAGCAACCAGCACCTTAAAAATAGAATGTTATATATATAGGTTGATATATATCAACCTCACAGTAACCACAAACCAAAAACCTACAATACCTACATAAAAAAATAAAGAAAAAGGAATCCAAACATAATACTAAAGAAAATAAGCAAACTGCAAGGGAAGAGAGCAAGAGAAGAAAGGAACAAAGAACTACAACCAAACAACCAGAAAACAACTAACAAAATGTCAATAAGTATATACCTATCAATGATTACTTTAAATGAAAACGGATTGAATGCTTCAGTCAAAAGGCATAGGGTGGCTGAATGGATAAAAAGACAAGACTCATCTATGTGCTGCCTAGAAGAGACTCATTTCAGATTGAAAATCACACACAGACTGAAAATGAAGGCATAGAAAAAGATATTCCATGCAAATGGAAACAAAAAGAAAGCTAGGGAAGCAATACTCATAACAGACAAAATAGACTTTGAAACACTGTAACAAAAGACAAAGGGGGCATTACATGATGATAAAGGGGTCAATACAAGAAGAGGATATAATATTTGCAAATATTTATGTACCTATAATAGGAGCACCTAAATATATAAAGCAAATATTTACAGACATAAAGGAATAAATTGACAATAATACAACAATAGTGGAGAACTTTAATATCTCACTTACATCAATGAATAGATCATGCAGACAGAAAATCAATAAGAAAACATTGGCCTTAAATGACACATTAGACCACATAGATTTAATAGATATAAACAAAACATTCCATCCAAAAACTGCAGAACACATATTCTTTTCAAGTGCACATGGAACATTCTCCAGGACAGATCACATATTAGGCCACAAAACAAATATCAGTAAATTTAAGAAGACTGAAATCATATCAAGCATCTTTTTGGAACACAATGGTATGAAACTATACATCAATTATAAGAAGAGAACTTGAAAAAACACAAATGCATGGAGACTAAACAATGTGCTAAACAACCAGTGGATTAACGAAGAAATCAAAGAGGAAATAAAAAATACCTTGAGACGAATAAAAATGGAAACACAATTTTCCAAAATCTATGGGAAACAGCAAAAGCAATTCTAAGAGGGAAGGTCATAGAGATACAGGCCTACCTCAAGAAACAAGAAAAATCTCAAATAATCCAACTTTACACCTAAAAGAACTAGAAAAAGAAGAAGAAAGAAAGCCCAAAGTTAGTAGAAGGAATAAAATGAAAGAGAAACATACCTCAACATAAGAAAGGCCATATATGACAAACCCACAGCTAATAATATATTCAACAATGAAAACCTGAAAGCTTTTCATCTAACATCAGGAACAAAATAGAAATGCCCACTTTCACCACTTTTATTCAACACAGTGTTGGAAGTCCTAGCCACAGCAATTAGGTGAGAAAAAAATTAAAAAGCATTCAAATTGGAAAGAAAGAAGTAAAACTGTCACTATTTGCAGATGACATGATACTATGTAGAGAAAACCCTAAAGAGTCCACCAAAATCTGTTAGAACTAATGAGTTCAGTAAAGTTGCAGGATACAAAAGTAATATACAGAAATTGGTTATGTTTCTGTACAGTAATACTGAAATAAAGTGTTCATGAATTGGAAGAATTAACATTTTAAAAATGTCCATATTACCAAAAGCAGTTTACAGATTCAGTGCTATCCCCATCAAAATACCAATGGCATTTTTAATAGAACTAGAACAAAGAATCCTAAAATTTGTATGGAACCACAGACTCCTAATAGTGAAAGAAATCTTGAGAAAGAAGAACAAAGCTGGAGGTATCACGCATCCTGATTTCAAACTGAACTATAAAACTATAGCAATCAAAATAATATGGTACTACTGCAAAAACAGACAGATAGATCAATGGAATAGAATAGATAGCCAAGAAATAAACCCACTCATATATGGTCAATTAACCTATGACAAAGGAGGCAAAAATATAAAATGGGGAAAAGACAGCCTCTTCAATAAAAGCTGTTGGAAAAACTGGACAGCTACATGTAAAAGAATGAAACTGGACCACTATCTTACACTGTATACAAAAACAAATTCAAAATGGACTAAAGACTTGAAAGTAAGACCTGAAACCACAAAACTCCTAGGATAAAACATAGGCAATCTGCTCTTTGGCCTTGGTCTATCCAATATTTTTTTGAGCCAGTCTTCTTAGGCAAGGGTAACAAAAGCAAAAATAAACAAATGAAAATACGTCAGACTAAAAAACTGTTGCACAGTGAAAGAAATTATCAGCAAAATGAAAAGGCAACCTATCGAATGGTAGAAAATATTTTTAAATCATACATCCAATAAGGGATTAATATAGAAAATGCATAAAAACTTAAACAATTTAATACCAAATAAACCAACAACCCAATTAAATATTGGGCAGAGGACTTGAATAGACATTTTTCCAGAGAAGACATAGTGATGGCCAACAGGTACATGAAAAGACATTCAACATCACTAATCATCAGAGAAACACAAATTAAAACCACAATGAGGTATTCTCTCACACATGTCAGAATGGCTACTATCAAAAAGAAAAAATAACTGTTGGTGAGGATGTGAAGAACAGGAATCCCTTGGATACTGTTGGTGAGAATGTAAATTTGTGCAGTCACTATGGAAAGCCGTATGGAGGTTCTTCAAAACAAAAAAATAGAACTGCTATATAACCCAGCAATTTTACTTTTGGATATTTACTCAAAAAACCCCAAAACACTAATTCAAAAACATATGTTCATTGCAGCATTATTTACAATAGCCAAGATATGGGAGCAACCTAGGTGTTCATCAATAGATGAATGGATAAAGAAGATGTGGTACCTATATACAATGGACTATTACTTAGCATAAAATGAATGAAATCTGGGGCAGTTAAGTTCACACTTTCCACTTTGGCAGCCTGGGGTTTGCCGGTTTGGATCCTGGGTGTGGACCTATGCACCACTTGTCAAGCCATGCTGTGGCAGGCATCCCACATATAATGTAGAGGAAGATGGGCATGGATGTTAGCTCAAGGCCAGTCTTCCTCAGCAAAAACAGGAGGATTGGAGGCAAATGTTATCTCAGGACTAATCTTCCTCACAAAAATGAGAATGAAATCTGACCATATGAGAGAATGAATGAACCTAGAGGGGATAATGCTAAGTAAAATAAGTCAGACAGAGAAAGACAGTATGATTTCACTCATATGTGGAATCTATAAGACAAAACTATTGGAAACAAAACAAAACAGAAACAGACCCATAGATACAAGAAACAAACTGGTGGTTACCAGAGGGGGGAAGGATTTGGGGGTAGGCAAAATAGGTGAAGGGGATAAAGCAGTACAAAATTTCAGTTATAGAATAATGTCTTGGGGATATAAGGTACAGCATAAGAAATATAGTCAATATTGTAATACCTTTGTATAGTGACAGATGATAACTAGACTTACTGAGGTGATCATTTTGTAATGTATATAAATACCAAAACAGTATGATGTACCCCTGAGACTAATAGATATAGTATGTCAATTATATTTCAATAAAAAGAATTGACAAGAAAAAAATTTTATATTACACATGATATCACTGTTTTATTAGGAAGGAGGGTAGAAGTGATCTGGATACTTAGAAACATTTTTAGTTGAGATAAGTAACCAATAATTAAAATTTTTTGTACATGTTCAAGTTAAAAAATATAGTTTTAATGTTCTGAGTGTTGATGTTTTTATTGATTTTATTTGGTCATTTCTATTAAAACTTGGAGAACCTTAACACAAGATGTTTGACAATATTTCATTAAAATATATTGGGTTATTGTTTTAGTTAGCTAGATAAAATGAACAACAATAATCAAATTTTATAATAGGTTAAGGTAAGGTAAGTCTCAAAAGAAAAAGGCTAACGATCTAAATTTCTCCATATCTTTAGGCTATGTTACAAACAATTAACTTGAATGTAAAAAATATTCCTTTGCTTTGCTTGAATAAATATGATAAGACTGGAAGGAAGTGTCCATTGAATGCTTATGCATTGAACTTCTACAAACATGGCTCCCTGTTAGCGCTGACTTTGGGTAATTGGTATGATCTTTTCTATTTTAACATTCTTTTAGACATATGTGTGTTTGTGTAATTAATGTCTATTGTGCTGTGGGATTATGACTTATGAAAACAATTTTAAGATGCAGTAATTTAAGAAGAGTTATTAAGATGCAATATATTTGGAACTTTATTTTTTTTTCTGAGAGAGATTTGCCCTGAGCTAACATCTGTCACCAATCTGCCTCTTTTTAGCTTGAGGAAGATTTGTCCTGAGCTAACCTCTGTGCCAACCTTCTTCTATTTTGTATGTGGGTCATTGCCACAGAATGGCTGCTGATGAGTGCTGTAGGTCCGCACCTGGGAACCAAAACTGGGCCGCCCAAGTGGAGAGCACCAAACTTAAACACTAGGCTATGGGGCTGGTCCCCTATTTGGAACTATTTTTAAATGATATTTATTATCATTATTGTTGAGGTGAAGCTCATATAACATAAAATTAACCATTTTGAAATGAATGATTTAGCGACTTTTGATAACAATCATAATGTTGTGCAAAAATGACCCCTATCTAGTTACTAAACATATTCATTAATCAAGGGGAAAGTCTGTACCCAGTAAACAGTAATCCCCATTCCTCCACTTCCCCATCCTCTGCCAACTGCCATTCTTCTCTCTGTCTCATTGGATCTACCTAGTTTGGATATTTAATATAATTGGAATCACACAGTTATGTGACTTTTTGTGTTTGACTTCTTTCACTATAATATTTCAAGTTTACCCATGTTGTAGCATTATCAGCATTTCACTCCTTTTTATAAATGAATAATATCCCACTGTTTGTATATATACAATTTGTTTATACAGTTGATGAACATTTGAGTTGTTTCAACTTTTGGTTATTGTGAATATGCATATATTTGTTTGAGTACCTGTTTTCAATCTATTCAGGTATATACTGAGGAGTAGAATTGCTGGGTCATACAGTAACTCTATGTTTAACTTATTGAGAAACTTCTGAAATACTTTCCACAAAATTGAATCATTTTACATTACCACCAGAAATATACAAGCTTTCCAATTTCTCTATAACCTTATATTTGTTATTTTTTAAAATTATTACAGCCATCCTAATAGATGTGACATGATACATATCTCATTGTGGTTTTGATTTGTATTTCCCTAAACACTAATGATATTAAGCTTTTTTGAATAAGTGTCTGTGCAAGTCCTTTGCTCATTTTTAAATTGTATTGTTTTTCTTTTTGTTCTTGAGTGGTAGAAGTTCTTTATATATTTTGGATACTAGACCTTTATCAGATATATGATTTGCAAATATTTTCTCCTATGTTATCTTTTCATTTTCTTGATAATGTTCTTTGCTACACAAATGCTTTTAACTTTGATGAAGAAAATCTATCTGTTTTTTCTTTTCTCATTCATTCTTTTGGTATCATATCTAAGAATCTATTCATAAATCCAAGATCATGAAGATAATATCCCTATGTTTTCTTCCAAGAGTGTTATAGTTTTAGCTATTATATTTGGGTCATTCATCCATTTTGAATAAATTTTGGTATATGGTGTGAGATAAAGGTCTAATTTCATTCATTTGCATGTGAATATACAGTTGTCCCAGCACTATTCTTTGAATTCTTTTCTCATTGAATGGTCTTGGCATCTCATAAAAAATCAATTGGTCATAGATGTATGGGTTTATTTCTGAATTCTCAGTTCTATTTCATTGGTCTATAGATCTGTCCTTATGTCAGCATCACCCTGTTTTGATTACTATAGCTTTTAAAACAGGGAAATGTGAGACTTCCAACTTTGTTCTCTGTATTCAATACTGTTTTCGCTATTCAAGGTCCTCTGCAATTCCATATGAATTTGAAGATTGTCTTTTCCACTTCTGCAAAAAAGGCTGTGGGAATTTTAATGGGGATTGCAATGAATCTATAGATCACTTTGGGTAGTATTGTCATCTTAACAATATTAAGTCTTCCTATCTATAAACATGGAGTGTCTCTCCATTTTTTAGTTCTTCCTTAATTTCTTTCAGCAAGATTTTAGTTTTCAGTTTACAAGTCTTTAAGCTTCTTGGTTGAGTTTATTCCTAGGTATTTTATTCTTTGGATGATGTCATAATTGGATTTTCTCCCTTAATATCCTTTTCAGAAAGTACCTTGCTTGTGTATGGAAACATAACTGATTTTTGAGTGTTGATCCTGTACTCTACAACTTTGGAAAATTTCTTTACTAGCTTTAATAGTTATTTTGTGGATTCCTCAGGGTATTCTATATATGAGATTATGTCATCTGTGAGTAGAGAGAGTTTTACTTTTTCCTTTAAAATTTGAATGCTTTCCCCCCCTTTTTCTTGCCTAATTGCTTTGACTAGTACTTCCAATAAAATGCTGAATGGCGATGGTGAAAGCAAACATCCTTGTTTTGTTCCTGATATTAGGAAAAAAAAATTCAGTCTTTTATCATGAGGTTAGCTGTGAGTTTTTTGTAAGTGTCCTTTACCATGTTGAGGAAGTTCTCTTGTATTGTTAGTTTGTTGAATGTTTTTATCAGGAAAGGATTTTTTTTTTCCAAATGTTTATTCTACATTAACTGAGGTAATGTTATGGCTTTTTTCCTTCATTCTATTAATATGGTGTATTATACTGATTGATTTTCTTATGTTGAATCACCCATACATTTCTGGGATAAATTCCATTGTCATATTGTCTAATCTTTTAAATAAGCTGTTAGACTCAGTTTACTAGTATATTGTTGAGAAATTTTGCATCTTTATTCATTAACCTATGGTTTTCTTTTATTGTGATGTCTTAATTTGGTTTTGGTATCAGGGTAATACAGGTCTCATAGAATGAGTTAGGAAGTATTTCTACCTCTACTATATTTGTAGGAATTTGAAAAAGATTTGTGTTAATTCTTCCTTAAATGTTTGGTGGAATTCACCAGTGAATCCAGCTAGTCTGGACTTTACTTTGTTGGGAAGTTTTTGATAACAGTTTTGATTCAGTTTGTTTACTTGTTCTATGTTTTATTAAATTTTCTATTTCTTTTGAGTCAGTTTTGGTAATCTGTGTAGTTATAGAAATCTTTCCATTTAATGTAGATTATCTAAATTTGGTGTAGAGTTAGTTGTTTATAGTACTCTTGTATAAATCTTTTTATCTGTAGATCAGTATAATGTAGTCATGTTCATTTCTGATTTTATTTATTTGCATTTTCTTTCTTTTTCTTTCTTTGTCAGTCTAGCTAAAAGTTTGTCAATTTTATTGATCTTTTCTGAGATCCAACTTTCATTTCATTGGCTCTGTTGTATTTCTATTCTTTGTTTTATTAATCACCACATTATTCTTTTTTATTTCCTTCCTTCTGCTAGGTTAGGTTTTAGATCACTTCTTTCTCTATTTCCTTAAGGTATAAAATTAAGTTATTGATTTGAATTCTTTCATCTTTTTTAATGTAGGCCTTAACTGGTATAAATTTCCTCTGAGCATGGCTTTCTCTGTATCCCATAAGTTTTGGTACGTTGTGCTTTTACTGCCATTTGTTTCTAACTGTTTTCTAATTTTCCCGTGATTTCTTTTTGGATCCATTGTTTGTGTGCTGTTCAATTTTTATATATTTGTCAATTTCCCAATTTTCTTTCTGTTTTCTAGCTTCATTCCATTGTGGTGTGAAAAGTTGTTTTGTATGACTTAAGTATTTTTAAACATATTGAAACTTGTTCTGTAGCCTAATATATAGTCTCTTATGGAGAATGTTTGATATGCACATGAGAAGAATATATATTATGCTATGATTAGATGTAGTCTTGTAAACATGTCCATTAGGTCTAGTTGGTTTATGGTGTTAAGTTATTTTATTTCCTTATTGATTTTTTGTTTTGATGTTCCATCCAATATTGAAAGTGGGGTGTTGAAGTCTTCAACGAATTGTCAGTTTCTCCCTTCCATTCTGTCAATGTTTGCCTTATATTTGGAGATTCTGTTGGTCGTAGTCTATATGTTTTTAATTTTTACATCTTCTAGATGAACTAACCATTTATCCATATATAATGTCTTTTTGTCTCCTGTAAGAATTTTTTATTTAAAGGCTGTTTTGTCTGATATTAGTATAAGTCACCCCAGCTCTCTTTTACTTACTATTTGCATGGAATATCCTTTTCCACCCTTTCACGTTCAACATTTTTCTGTCTTTGGATCTAAAGTGAGTCTCTTAGAGACGGCATACAGTTGGATCATGTTTACTTTTTTATCCATTCTGCCAATCTCTATCTTATGAGTGGAGAATTTAATCCATTGACATTTGAAATAATTACTGATAAGGCAAGACTTACTTTTGCCATTTTGGTATTGTTTTTTATGTCTTATACCTTTTTGGTTTCTCAGGGATAACTTTCGGTAATTTTACCTGTCAATGGGCATACTTTCTTGTTTCTTTTCATGCCACGTAAATTTTTCAAGAAGTGTATATTTTGAATATTATAATATGGTAGTTCTGGGATTTTTCTCCCTTCTCAGAGTTTCTGTTTGTTTGTATCTGTCCACTATAACTGTTGTTTTGTTTAGTGACTTTTACAAGGTCTGTATTCTTCATCATGTGGTCTGTAAAGTCCCTGTTTCTTAAGCTTGTATTCAGCTAATGTTTTGACAGACATTTCTTTGGACACAAGAAGCAAGAGAAATGGAGAGAGAGAGAAAGAGAAGAAGAAGAAGTAGAAGGGGTAGGAGGAAGAGAAGGAGGAGAGAGAAAAGAAGAAGAAAGAAAAGAATTTCTACCATTCCTTGTAGACTGGCTCTGTGCTGGACACTCCTTTCACCACTTAGGCCATTTATGACTCTGTCTTACCCTTCACTTCCTGCTTGCACTAATTCCACAGACAAGACAGAAGTGAAAGCTTAGGCTCTTCTCAGGTCTTTTCTGAGTGTGTGTACTGCCCTAGGCACGTGCATGGCTTTCTAAATTCCCCCATATTCATGGATACTCTCTCCCAGATTTTCCTCATAGGTTTTCATTACTCAATTATATTGCCTCAACTGTAATCTTTTGCCCTAGGCAGCTGCAGGTGGTTCATTTACCTTACCGCTTTCCCTCCTGCGTTCTGAGTTGGAAAAAATAAAGACAAGTACCTCACCTTGGTACTTTAGGCAGTCCCCAGACAGGTTGAAACAGATAGATAAACACATTCTTTGTTAATAAGGGGAGCTCTGCTTCCTCTGGAACCAGGGACCAGGGTCTCACACTGGGGACACAGGCTGCTGTCTTCAAAACCACCACTAAGCTGGGAGGAGGGTGGGGAAAGAGCAAATAAAAATGTCACAAAGCTTTGCTACTTTTTGTAAACTTTTTCTTGATTCAGAGTTAAACCTTTGACTATTTTCCAGAGTTCTGACAAAGTTGATTATTACAGTTTTTGCTTGAGTTTTTGGATGTTTTGATGGAGGGATGGGCTATTGGAGCTGCCAACTTTGCCATTTACAATGACGTCACTCATATTGGGTACTGTTTTTAACATATGTGAAATATTTAACTTGGGTAATAATAATGTACTCTCAAGTCTTTCCATATATGGTTTTATTTTGTCTCTGGAAAGGCCAGCAATTCAGTGATAATTTATTATTTCCTTTACTGTAGATTAAGAACATCCCCCAAACAAATTTCTTTCTTTAAATATTACTTTGTCTTTTTTTCTATAGGCTAAATATGGGAGATGCTTTTAATTTAATCAGAGATTTTGCTCTTGTTATTCAGTCTGTCAGGTATAGTAAACATTTCTACATTTGAAAATCATATAACTAGCTAAACACCATTAAGCTCAAATAACAATGAGAATAATTTAAACACAATCTTTTACAGGATTTCACTAAGTGAATTATGTGATGATGAAGATGACAATGTTGTGCTGGCGTTTAAACAGCTAAGTGAGGCATTCAAGACAAAACTTTGGAAAAAAAGAAGATATTGACAATGTTAAACTTTACTCAAATACTATGCTCTTAGAAAACAGAGATGATCAAGAAATTTTCCCACCCTTTTGTGTTCCAGGAAATGGCTTACTGCATAGAACCATTCTTTCTCATGACTTAGATAAGACTCCTAGATGTTGCGCTTGTTTACCTATGACAATCCTCAACACACTCTCCAAATTCCCATTCTTCGTCTTATAAATAATTAGCTGAACTAACCATCAGCTAAGTAGCTGTTTTCCCTTGCTGACTAATCTGGATGAAATACCTGTTAACTTGACTTGACTAAACTTGAGTCAGGCTTCTCCCCTCCCCCCAAATCCCTGAACTTTAACCTACCCTTAGGCTCCTCCTGAAAAGAGACTGGAAGCACTCCTAGATTAACCATCTCAGATCAGCTGTTTAATCTTGGATGGACTGTGACTGGCTATGTCAACCAAAGACATTCCCAGATCAACTGTACAATCAGACCACACATTCATCTCATCCTCCCACACCAGATTCTTTCTGGCCTTGTTTACTTATCTCTATTAATTAAAAATCCTTTTTTGGCTAACATTTAAGATCTCTGCAAATCTCATGGTCAGAGCTTTCTCCTTTTTGCATTAGCCCCTCATTCCCTAGTGCAATAGGCCTCACCACTTACTGCAATAGTTTTTTCGAATAAAATCTCTCATTATCTAAGTCTGGATTTGTTTTTGATTTGATGACATCATGTTATGCCAAAGAAACAAAATGTATTACCTAGCTAAAGAATACTTTTCACAATTTATTGAACTCATCATAAAACGATGTCTTAGTGAAGAAAAATGTTATTTAAATATCTAAAGTCACAACAGGAATTCTAATATTTTCTTCTATTGAGAATTTTATCTGGAATAATAGCTATGCTAAATATCTCAAACAATTGCTACTTTTGATTAAAATGTTAACGATTTTTTTTGAGGAAGATTAGCCCTGAGCTAACATCTGTGCCCATCTTCCTCTACTTTATATGTGGGATGCCTACCACAGCATGGCATGCCAAGAGGTGCCATGTTCACACCTGGGATCTGAACCGGGGAACCCCAGGCCGCTGAAGTGGAACGTACTAACTTAACCACTGTGCCACTGGGGCCAGTCCCTAGAATGTTAATGGTGATTTTTAAAGATAGAAATCAAACTCAATTTAAAATGATATAACATCACACACCATAGCAGTAAGTTGAAATTTTTTCAAAGTGATTTCAGAAGTCTAATTATTCTTAAATGTTTCATGTTGTGCCCAATTATTGTGTTCTAAATGTCCTGTATCATTGCTTCTGTAGAATACCAGGTTCTTAGTACATTTTTCGTTTCTTCTGAGACTGGTAGAAAGAGATCGACAGAGACTGGGCTATGGGCTTTTGAAAAATGTTACAGTGGAATAGAGCACTTCTATCCACTTCACCAGTGCATCTAGATTTACTCCATATGTGTCCTCATTTCCCTTGCCTGACTTAATTACTGCTTCCTATGACCTCGGTTTTTGTCTTTCCCCTTGCTTATGTTGGGAACCTTCTGTTGTTGACTTGCCCATCCCTAGCTCTGCTTTTATTCTTGGCTGGATGTTCGCATTAATCTAGATTCTTCTCCAAATCTGATCTCGGTGAATATTTTCCTTTTGCTGCTCCTAATTTACTGAATGTTGAGACACACAAAGGGCCAGGCTCTAATGATGGCACAAAGCACATAATAATTTCCAAAAGACTTTGATCCTGATGTTAAGACAAAAACAATGAGCAATGACTTTTCTGACATTGCTTGGGCAAGTGCTTGGTTAGTCACTAATGTTAAAAAAAGAATTAGCTAGAGATAAACTGTTTTTGTTTTTTTTTAAAGATTGGCACCTGAGCTAATATCTGTTGCCAATCTTCTTTTCCTTCTTCTCCCCAAAGCCCCCCGCACCAAGTACATAGTTGAATATTCTAGTTGTAAGTGCCTCTGGTTGTGTGAGATAAATTTTTTTTTATCAGAGTGATTGTAAAACACACACACACACTCCCCCGTATTTTTACACACATCTAAGCCTGACAAGCATATATCTGACTTCATTTTGCTGTTTTCTATCTTTATTTTCTTTTAAAGGTGACTTTAGATAGTCCCTTTAGTTTTATTGCACTGAACAAGAGTCCTGAACATTCTTCTAAGTGGGATAACTACACACTGTGTTTTACGTGGTCTCGAAAGCATGCTAAGGACAGCCCTGAGTAGCTCTTGTTGTGGGGAGTTGTTGATTTACATTTAAATAAAACATATTTCAGTGCAATCTTTTTTTATTATTCCATCATACACAATTTTATTAATTGCTGATTTAAGTAATAAGTGCAAATCCAGTCTTTTATCAATAGATTTTTCTTTGGCTTAGAATGATTTTAAAGATAGAAGAGAGAATATGATTCTATAGTTTTGTCATAAGGCTACCAACACTACAAATTTAACACAAAATCTATATGTTGACATGTCTATAAAGAGGAGTGCACAGTCCTCCAAATCCTTCTCTTGATTTAGTAGTCTTCGGCATCACCAGCACAGATGGCAAGCAGAGCTTTCTCATAATGCCCTGAAGCAAAATTCTGCAAAGACAAAATATAACGTATTTGAAATAAAATGTTATAGTATTTCAAAAAAAGAATCATAATTCCTCTGAACTATAGTATGAAAGACCCATGGGCCAATAACTTGTCCAAAATTATTTACTATTTTCATCTAAAGATTTAATATGTCCTGAGAACTATTCCCAGTGGAAGTTACTGAAAAATAATACCATGATTATAGTCAATAGAATAAAGTGGATTGTACCCTAAAATGTATTTATAAGAAGAATAACTTGCAATAGAAGTAAATCTCTCCTCTTTAGAAAGAGGTGTCCTAATATTATTCTTATAAATAAGTGTAGAGTCTGAAGGGGAAATTGATAATATGCCTCAGAAGATTTTAAAATGTTTATACTCATTAATGTAGTAATTCTACTTCAGGAAGTATATCCTAAGGAAATATAAATTATTGGTAAGCATAAAGGTTTATGCTCAAATATATACCATAATATTATGTATAATGATGAAAAAGTAAAAACACAATATATAATAAGGTGGGGTAGTTTATGTACTTTACAACTTATGCAAGGTGACACCATAATTCAATAAAAACATTTCTTTAAGTGGTAGAACATATCGATGTTTATATATATATATTATTATTTTATTTTATTTTATTTTTTCTTTGAGGAAGAACAGCCCTGAACTAACGTCTGCTGAGAATCCTCCTGTTTTTGCTGAGGAAGACTGGCCCTGAGCTAACATCCATTCTGTCTTCCTCTACTTTCTAAGTAGGACATCTGTCACAGCATGGTTTGACAAGGGGTGTGTAGGTCTGCACCTGGGATCCGAATTGGCGAACCTGGGGCTGCCAAAGCACAATGTGCAAACATAACTGCTGCGCGACCAGGCCGGCCCCGTATATATTTTTTAAAAATCAGAAAGAACCTACAACAAAATTTTATTACTAGTTATCAGTCATGGAGAACTAGGGCAATTTTTTTTCTTCTTTTTATGGTCTTCTATAGTTTCTGAGTTTTTCAAAACAATCATAGGAATAAATAAATGGAATTATAAAACCTATCATGGAGGTAGGACCATGGCCGAGTGGTTGGGTTCACGCGCTCTGCTTCAGTGGCCTGGGGTTCGCCGGTTTGGATCCTGGGCACAGACCTACACACCACTCATTGGGCCATGATGAGGCGGCATTCCACATAGGAGACCTAGAAGGATCTACAGCTAGGATATACGACTATGTACTGGGGCTTTGGGGAGAAAAAAAAAGAGCAAGATTGGCAACACGTTAGCTCAGGGCCGACCTTCCTCACAAAAACCAAAAAAACCTATCTTTGTTAAAAATCAACTACATATTACTATTTTCTTACACAAAGTCATGTAATTATAACTCACCACTTTCAATGCATGTAGTGAATTAATTATATGCAAATCTTAGTAGACTTTGAGGTGGCTGTGATTAATTGCAGTACATGTATTAGAACTAGCTTATTCATTTGGAAAATGAGTTACGACGTGCATTTCTCAATGAGAAATATTTATCATCACTGGAAGTTTAGAGTTTTGAGGGTGGACACAAGGAGAGTTTTATCAAAGACAAGATTTCTCTTAACTGCTCCGTCTGCTCTTCCTCTTGGAAACCACTTCAGCTACCCAAGGGTCTACAAGGTCTTCTGGTATTTGTGGTCTCTTGGTCTTTGGGTTCTTGAGTTGCTTCTGGATCGCTCTTTCGATAAACTAAAAAGTTATTTTATGGAATTGAAAATTTTCATAGAAAACAACGTGAACAGGTAACAGCCCTTAGCTGTATGCAAAATGTAAGTGAAGACATATTCTCAGGGTCCTGAGCTTGGTTGAATGCTCTGCTGGTGCCATCTTGAAATTCTTTATAATTTTATGAAGAAGGGTCAAGCATTTTCATTTTCCATTGGGTGCCAAAAATTACAAAGATGGTCTCATAAATTTTGACAATTCTTAGCTAGATTTTATCAAAATCCAGGGTAAAGTTTAGACATAGCAGAATGAAGAAATTGGCTCATTTGCTTCTGAATCATTGTTTCTTTGCCCTTCAAGAGCTAAAGGGATAGGGATATGTAGAATTTCATACAGCTATCAATGTTAAGTTCCTCCAATTTACCAGTTTATGGGATTTGACTGGCTGCCCTGCCTTCTATGACACTATGAAAGGAGAGCTGAACTGAGCTAAGCAGCCTCTTCACAATTAGTATGGTCTGGTTGCAAAATGTAGTTTTCCTAACGCTGATCATACTTCAGAATTTAGCTCATAAAGTACAATTACACAATTAGAGGATGGATATTTTACATGACTACTTCAAGGATTTTTGCTTAAAGCACATCAAAGAGCGATAAATCTGTCACTGAGGTGAGGGGACGTCCTCCGTGTAGCACCTGTTGATGCTCTACAGGCTGCCTCAGGCACTAAAGTAGATTGTCCCTGGCAGAATAGCTAACGTTTTAGATTCTAACATGAAGTCATTTAAAGTAAAGCTTTATCTCATTTTCAAAAAGGACAAAATATGGGTCAAAATAAATCACATATAGGAGACTCACTTTGATATCATGAAATAGGGATTTTCCGTATCTCTCTTTGTATCTTTTCCTTATGGTCATCAGGTCTATTTCACTTCTGGCAATTAGAATCCTGATTACAGTTTTATTATGGAAACCAAAATCCTAAAAGATACACACAAAGGGGGAAAAAAGGAGAAAAACATAGTATGAAGTCTGTCTAAAATAGACTCATCCCCTTTACTGTAGTAAATTTGCTCTGCCTCCTGTATTCCTCAAACACTGTGTCACCATCTGGGGAGTGCCCAAGGCAGATTCTGAGAGGCATCTCTGTTACATTCTCCTCTCTCTTACTGTGTATGTATAATGAAGTATTCTATCTAGTTTACTTCTTAAATGCCCTGTATTCTCTATTTCCAATGTCACGGCCTGGATGCTGGCCCACCTTGATTCTGCAACAGCCTTGTCAACCTTAAGACTGTCTCCTTCACACTGCGTTATAAAATGCAAATCTGATCATGTGGTCTTTCTAGGTAAAAACTCTCCATAAGTGGGTAGTCGGGGGGATTCTGAACTCTGTTAGATGAACATTGATATATCTGAGTAAGACAGCAATTACATTTTTATTTTATGGTCTGTTTATTATTGAAAATTGTAAAAATAAGAATTACAGATATGTGAAATATTTTCTGATTTAAACTCAAGTGCTGAAAACTACAAAAATCAGTTTCAGTGTACTGACTCCAGAAAGAATACTGCTTTACAAATCAGTTTCAAATTGTCTTTTCAAATGGAGTAATGGTGACATCCAGTGGCCAGTAAGCATAAACTAATCTTTGATGTCTGAATGTTTTGGGTGTAGATCTAACAAACTTTTCATAATTTGAGGTGAATGAAATGAATGATCTAACCAAGTTTCCATATTTAAGTTGCATATCATTAAGTAGAACGCACTGGGAAAAAACCCAGAGATTTTCTTTGGCTTAGGAATGGTGAAAACAGCTTTTGATCAAAATTTTACATTTAAGGTCCTCATATATTGAAAATTTGATTACTTGAATACACAATCCTTCTGTTTGCTTCCTAACCATTTGTGAGTACACATACCTTCCTTTTTGCACTGTAACACACACAGCAGGAACACAATTTTTACTATTAGAATAAGTAGCCCTCAATTTGGGCATAGTTGGAATCAGAGTAATTGTGATTATTTTTTCATAGTCATTCACAAGTCAAGGTTTATTCTGTTGTTGGAAAAGAAAATGTTGAAATCATCCAATAGCATGGCCCCGACAGTATTTTAAATAAATTTTTAGTCAACTCAAATTTTTCTGCTTGGAAGTATAATAAAAACGAACCAGAGGACTGTGAGCATTGGTCGTTCTCCTGTGTTCTGAGGATACATAGGTTCTTGTATACAAATAAAAAATACTTGACATAGGATATATGATAGAAATATTCTTGGTGATTAGCACATTATGCCAGCATGCTGGCTACTTTTAAAAAGTTGGTCTGTAAAATTTACTTTGAGGATAAAGCACTCTATCAAAATTACTGCACTACAGTATCATTTTTAATAATTTTCACTGAGTTTTCAAGGCTATGACATATGTATAGCGATTTGCATGAGACTTTTTCTAAATACATTCCATGCACATTATGGATAAGGTATGCATTGTGTTACGCGTTTAAGTGTTTTTTCCTTCAAAAATGAATGCACCAAAGGAATATGATTGAGTCTCACACTAAACTATTAAAACAGTCTCATTTAATTACAAAAATAGCTTTAGAATTTATTATTGTCTAGCTATCTCTTTTTAAAGTATTTTTTTTTAAATAACACTTTATGTCTAAAAATAACCACTGACATTCTTTTGTGTTTTAAATTTCAGGAATGTAGCAATTTCTTGCTGAGTGTTTGTAATGTTTTGACATTTCCTGCTAGATGCCATATGTTTCGTACTTGCATAAGTGTGCGTTGGGGGCCTTTAGTGAGATACAAAAGCATTTGGATTTGCCAGTTTCTTCAGATGCTAAAAGACTATAAGAACACTGGGGAGATAGACCCTGAGGAATCATACTTCTTAGGTACCTCAATTTGATACAGAAAGCAGAGTATTATTTTTATTTCATGGGTCTCATTTTTGGTGTATAACACATTTTTTCACTTGAGCATATTTTCTTTGAAATGAATATATTTCCATACAAGTTCAAAAATAGGAATCAATACTTAAGTAATGGAAGTAAAACTAGTCTTTTGAGAAAGTAGACATGATTCCTGGAGAAATTTTAAAAATATGTGGGTCATACTTACATGGATTGAACTATATAGTCTATAAGCAAAATAAGCTGGTTTGTCTCGAACACAGAGAACTAGGAAAAATCAGAGAGAAAAGAATAAGTTTTGAGAGTGACAATAGATATTTTCGTCAGAATTTGAGAAGGAGAACTCTTGTTTTATTTTCCTGTTACAATCCTAGAAGAGTGATTATTTGCGAGTTATAGGTGGGATCCCTCACTGTACATTGTATTAAAATTTCAACACAGAATAGTGGTAAAACCATAACCGATAGAAAAATATAAAGCAGCAATATTATAATGATCATTTCAGATTTTCACTTGGTCTAACTCTACCTCGTGGAACTCTCTTAGTTCCTTCACATAACCTAGTGAAAAAATTGTCCCATTTGTATCTGAAAATCAAATAAATAAGGCTTCAAAGAGATGCAGGTTATCACCACTATTATAGATTTTTATTACTGTGGGATTCAATGTGACATAGTCCCCATGCAAATAGTTCATCTTCCCAAATGTTATTTTTAGTCTTTTGTAACAAGACTTGTGAGTAGATATGAGGTCTCTTAAGGAAAAACTGTATGGACCACTGTTGGAAGTCAGCAAATTAAAACCACTATGCATTAGAACAGCCTAGAGCCTGGTCAACAGTTGTCCTTGACGGATAATGTCTATTTGAATCAGCAAATTATTTAGTAAATGAAATGTATGCGAGGCTATAGCGTCTAGGCAAAATAAAATCATCATAACAATGTTTTCTTTGTAGTTCAAATGATTTTTTTAGATTGTGAGGCCCTGCCTTCCTCTTTCACTTTTGTCTATAATACTGTGACCTCATAAGCACTCTTGTGTCACTGCTAGAAGGTAAGTGCCTGAAGGACAGGGACTTTCGTTGTTGCTTTTGTAGCTATTGTTTCACTTGACGAATAAATGAAATGCAATAGGACATATTGGGGTCTATGAGGAAGCCATTTAGTTTAAAACTAATTCAGCGTGATCTTGTTTTTGCAGAAAGGCCTGACGTGGCCTGTTGAGCATGCACTGTACATCTGCTTTAAACATTGACAATGTCCCAAAGCTAAGAATGATAAGGAGGTTGCCATGTCAACATTTTTTAAGGATAAGCATTTCTTCCCAGAAACAGGATTAATTACTGACCTGCTCTAACCCATCTCATGACCACTGACCTGCTTACCACCAACTTGCTGTGCTCACCTTTTGACCACTGACCTGCTGTGCTGGCAAAGCATCTTATGATAGTAGTAAAAGAGATGTTCCTGCCATATGTGATGTATGCTCTTTGTTCTAAGATGGTATATAACCACTCTGTACACCCCACTTCTTTGGAGAGCTTCCTTCCTTGGCGGAAATGTTCTCCTGGGCTATAATCCTCAAATTGGAACCCAGTTTTGATTTATAGATTGATTATGGGTTATTTGCGTTGACACACTGTTTTATCTGCACTGCCTAAATCAATGACCAGAAGAGTAGATATTCAATAGATGTTTATTAAATGAAAGAATGAATGAATCAGTTAATATGTTTTCTAGTATTTCTCATGTCCACTATTTCCTCTTTCAGACCCACTGCTTCGTGACAGTTTTCAATAGTCGAAAGAGAGCTATTTTGAGATTCAGACGACATAGATTCTAGTCATAATTTTGCTGCTAATTAGTTGATAGACTTTGGAGCACTCACTGAAACTCCTTAGGCCTTGGTTGTAAAATGAGGGATTTTTATGTGATATATGATTATGAAAGCATATTGAGAATACATCAAAATATATGTACATTATTCTCAGAAAAATACACAAATATTCAAATCTTGTATAGTATTTTAGGGATTTCATAGAACCAACCAAACCCTTTTTTATGGAACTCTAGCTTTAAAACTCCTTTATGAGACAATCTATTGAAATATTATCTCTCAGCTCCTATGCCCATAATATGTCTGTGCTATTATAGGAAGGGAAAAATCACAGTATTTATTTACTCAACAAATATCTAAGTGATTATTTGATGTGTTTCTCCTTATGAGGATATTTCACAATGACCCTTCATTTGTAGTCTCTGAAATTTGCGCTGTCATGTCACAGCACAGGACAAGGTAAAGCACGGGTAGCGGCATAGTCGTTTTTATAGAGGGCTACCACTGTTTTCCCCTTTATGGAAAGATAGCTTTCCTTACCTAGGAAGGAGCAGGAGGTGTGTGCCTCTCTCACAATAGCCTGTAGAAATCACTACTAAGTAACACCTTGGTAAATCTTGTTTATGGTAAGACCTACCCCTAAAACAAACTTAGACATGGAGAAAAAGAAGCCATGTTGCTAGCATTCATCTGCTCTTTATCAAGGGAATGGGAGTCAGTATATATAAAACAAAATTTAAAGGCATGAGATCCCAATCACCTGTGAAAGAGAGCATCTGAGAATTCAGTGTTTCCCAGTATGAAAGTTGAACCAGCTATTAGGGAAGGGTATCATCTCTTTGAAGTTATCAGGTTGCCAGTTTAGTGCCTTATGTCAGTAGCTGATGTACTTTTCCTCTGTAGAGGTAATACCCCTCTAAATAATTAAACTCAGGGGAAAGTGACTCAAGCAAAAGCTTACTTAAAGATCTTTAATTCAGTCAGCCAGTCAGCATTTATTGTGGAATAAAAGTCTGCTGTACACCAAATACATTGTTACTTACCAATTGCAACCAGCAGCTCTTGGAAATATCCATCATAACATTCATTAATAGCATCTACTATGTCTTGCCCAGAAATATTTTGAAATTCCTGGAAAACTGCAACAAATTGATATAATGCAAATGAGATTTTGTAAATATTATAAATTTAAAATACAAATATTGATTAGACTGCCTAACATAGTGAAGGTAAATAGAGTATAGGGGTGGGGGTTGGGTTGGAGTATGCCATCTTTTAAAAATTTTTATAGACTTTTGTGTTTTACTATATGTATAAAAAAACAAAAAGGGATTTTTTTTTAAATAAGGGAAACAGAAATGTACAGCAGTTTGGGGAAAGTCAAAGTGTGAACTAATATGAGTGCACCTCTAAAACCAATAAGGTAGCTTCACATAAATCATGACGTCAATAATAATGACCTTGACTCATTATGTGCTGGTTAAACTATGTTCACTATCTTCTTTTCAAGACAACATATAATATGCCTAACAGGAACTAGCTAATATATTTGAATAAGTTCTCCGTCAAAAACAGTGATTGTTTTAAAAGGTTCGTTATTTAAAGATTGTATAATTCAGTTATTGGAAAAAATAAAATTATAAGGAAACTTTATTCCTTAGTAATGTCATTATGTAAGGCATGTCTGTATAAACATAACTCAGAATAAGTACCTTTGAGATAACTGGCTTTCCTCTTTTTATATGGAACATTTTCCTCTTTTTTTTTTTTCCAGTTAACAACTTGGTTTTTATTATGTAATCAGTTAAGCAGCTGAAAAGGAACCTGATGAATAATTACCCAGCCACAGCTGTTCATAGCTCTTGTTGCATAGAATCATTTGCAGCGTAGTTTTGTGTTCCCCTGTCTTTCGCTGACAGGCTTCCCACAGGACCTGAAACATCATACAGCCAGGAAGGAGTACCATAATCACCCCAGACCAGTTTAACAAAGGCTCTCTACAGTATGTCACACAGTCTACAGAGAGCTGGTTCTAGTTACCATTGCATCCTGGGCAGCCATAGCAGGGTCTGTATATCCTTCTTCTCTGATTCCCTGTAAAAAAAGCACAGATTTCCCCCATTAAATGTTGTTAATTAACAACACATATAGGATTATTGGGACAAAAATCTTTGAACCCCAAAGCACACTGGTAATTCGTAAGACAGTGCTATCATTATTTGGAGTTAGATAGTCTACATTTCTTGAATACTTTATGTAATATAGGTCTTTTTAAAAAATGTGTGTTCTTTTGGTTGTATTTTTTTCTTTGCAGCAGTGGTAATCTTCCAAAGATGTTGCCAACCCAACCACTGGGAGAAAATATTTGCAAATCATTTATCTGACAAGAGGTTGACCTTCAAAATATATAAAGAACTCATGCAACTCAACAACAAAAAAACAAACAACCCAATCAAAAAATGAGTAGAGGAGGGGCTGGCCTGGTGGTGTAGCAGTTAAGTTCATGTGCTCCGCTTCGGTGGTCTGGAGTTTGCCAGTTTAGACCCCAGACGCAGACCACATATCAAGCCATGCAGTGGCAGGTGTCCCACATGTAAAGTAGAGGAAGATGGGCACAGATGTTAGCTCAGAGCCAATCTTCTTCAGCAAAAAGATGAGGATTGGTGGCAGATGTTAGCTTAGGGCTAATCTTCCTCAAAAACAAAAACAAACAAACAAAAAAATAAAAAAATGGGCAGAGGATATGAACAGACGTTTTTCCAAAGAAGATATACAGACAGCCAACAAAAACATGAAATGATATTCAACATCACTAATTATTAGGGAAACACAAATCAAAACTACAATGAGATACCACCTTACACCAGTCCCAATGGCTATAATTATCGAGGAAAAAAACCAATAAATGTTGGAGAGGGTGTGGAAAAAAGGGAACCCTCATGCACTGCTTGTGGGAATGCAAACTAGTGCAGCAGCTATGGAAAACAGTATGGAGACTTCTCAAAAAATTAAAAAGAGAAATACCACATGACCCAGGCATCCCACTACTGGGTATTTATCCAAAGAACTTGAAATCAATGATCCAAAGATATTTATCCACCCCTTATGTTCATCGCAACATTATTCACAATAGGCAAGATGTGGAAGCAACCCAAGCACCCTTCTACAGATGAATAGATAAAGAAGATGTGACACACACACACACACACACACACACAAAATGGAATACTACTCAGTCATAAAAAAGACAAAACTGTTCCATTTGCAACAACATGGATGGACCTTTAGGGTATGATGTTAAGCTAAATAAGCCAGACAGAGAAAGACAAATACTGCATGCTCTCACTCATATGTGGTAGATGATATATACATGGACAAAGAGAACAGATTAGTGGTTACCAGAGGTGAAGGGGGTTGGGGGGTGGGCAAAAGGGATAAAGGGGCACATATGCACAGTGACAGACAAATGGTGAGCATGATGAAGTCTATTCAGAAACTGGCAAATAATTTACACTTGAAATTATGCAATGTTATAAACCATTATGATCTCAATAAAATGACTGGAAAAACAAAAATAGGTATTGAAATGTTTTTCACTTTTCCAACTCTCTGTGCAGTATCTTCTCTCCCATCAAACCGAGCACCTACTGCCTGGCATGGGTGATAGAGATGAGATTTAACACTGTTAGAGAGAAAATGCAGAGAGAAAAAATAAGTTAATACTCAGTTTCTGACTTGTAAGATAGGGTAAATGCAACACTAAAATGATCATGAAATTCAGATTTTGTGGAGTGAGAATATTTTGTAAATTTGTTTCACCCCCATCTCTTTATCATATAAAGAACAGACATGGCCAAGTTGACCTAAGAGATGTCCATTTCAAACAGGAAGGAAGGAGGGCTAGCCAATGCAGGACCTTCTGGTCTCAGAGAATTATGGGGACCAGAGGGAAGAAAGAGGTAAGAGAGATATGCCATCCGACAGTTTATTTAACCTTTCCTTTAGGTCAAGATCTGGAGGGAAGGCTTTCTTTTTAAAACTGTGCTGAGAGAATACTGAGAGTACAGTGGCTTCTGCTCCTATCATCTTTGCAATCCCTGGCAATGGCCACAATTCAGTGAACTTGGTGACACAGCAATATTGGGCAGAGGGAGGTCCTGAATGCAACTCTCTTGAATTAATCTCAATCCCTAAGTAGCATGAGCAGGCCCCAAATTTTTTTCTTTCTTTTTTTTTTTGAGGAAGATTAGCCCTAGGCTAACATCTACCACAAATCCTCCTTTTTTGCTGAGGCAGATTGGCCCTGAGCTAACATCTGTGCCCATCCCCCTCTATTTTATATGTGGGATGCCTGGCACAGCATGGCTTGATAAGTGGTGTGTAAGTACACGCCGAGGATCCGAACTGGTGAACCCTAGACTGCTGAAGCAGAGTGTGCAAGCTTAGCCACTATACCACCGGGCCAGCACCAGAAATTTCTTATCCGCTCCTAATGGAGGAACTTGCATGCTAGCTGAGAACCTGGCAGGGGAGCTCAACAGATGGAATTGTTTATGACCATGGCAGGGATAGATTGTTCCAGTAGCCAAGGGCTACAAGGTAGACCACATTGGCCAGAACTGTGTGGGAGACATGGCTACTAGACCTTAGGGGGAATCTTCAGCTCCAGTGAGAGCAAAGGTGAGGCTAAACCATCAGGAAAGGTTACTTGGCTCTGACCAAACTGAGACAGAAAAATGATCATAAGTTACCCAGCTGCATGGTTTGGCAGCTGACACTGAGAAATGCTCATATCCTGGACATCCATGCTTTATATGCTTTTGTCCAGAGTTTCCCAGAACTGCCATTCCATAGCCAGGATGAGCAAGGATGCAGAAAATATCTTGATGATGTGAGAACACTATCACTTTCCTGTTGCCAAGACATCTCATAAACCACACACACACACACTCACACGCCCCTCTCCACAAAGTGCCTTCTTGGAGAGAAGGAGAGAAGAGGGCCAAAAATCTGACAGTTGAGTATTTAACTCAAAAAATGTATAAATGAGATTAAATATGTACTTATATTGACTGTTCAAAGTATTGTATGGATTAACTTTGCCATATTAGATTAAATATTAGGGTTTTTTTTCCCTTGCTAACCAAAAGCTGGAGGCAAATGAGAAATATCAATAAAGAAATAGGTAAACTACATTTTCTTGTGAGTAAATTTGTAGCCCTGAAAAATTTAATATGTTTAATTATAACTCAGAAGTTGTGTATCATCTAGAGGTGTACAGCTCGGGGAAAACTGATGTGAACCTATCAGACACATTTCTTCTCCCTCATTCCATTTGCTTATCAGGTGACTAAGAATACACACGTAAGTGGGGTTTTTATTGGCTGAGGAAGATTTCCCTTGAGCTAACATCTGTGCCAATCTTCCTATATTTCGTATGTGGGTCACCACCACATCTCTGAAGGATCGTGTAGGTCCACACCCAGGGATCTGAACCTGTGAACCTGGGCCTCCAAAGCGTAGTGTGCCAAACTCAACCACTATTCCATGGGGCTGGCCCCTGTAGGTCTTATTTTTAAAATCTATGTATTATGTAGATAAGTGTGCTGTATATATAAATGAGCAAGTGATAGATGACAACACTTAAAGAGCGAAAAAAATTTTATTGAGTGGTAGGATTACGGGTGCTATTTTATTTTCAAATTATGGAAGTGCTGAGATGCAGGGACTTTAAGGGTTCTATAGTTTTGTTCCTTAACTTGAAGATAAAAAATAAATAGACTTACAAACAGTAAGTGAATTTCCCAAGGTCTGATTGTTAGAAAATAATGATTATTCAGTTTTAGGGCCATTATTCAATTTCTGGCACTGAGATTTGGTTACTATATTGCTCCCTTAGCCCAAAGAACTCATTATTTTAAGACAATCTCCTCTGGTCACTCACTTATGATTTTAATTTACACTAAGCAACAAGTGACTGAAAGCAATTGATATGCTGCATCTTCTACGGACATATGCCACCTATTTAATATCATAAATTTATGATAATTCTTAATCTTCATCTTACTTGACCTACTGGTAGGATTTGATGCAATTCATCACTCTCTCCTCCTTGTCATACATTCATCACTGGGCTTTCAGGATGCTGCACTCTCTTTTTCCTTCTTTGGTTTACTTCACTTGTTACTCCTCAGTCTTGTGTACTGGTTCGCCTTTTACTTTTCAATCTCTTACTATTTGAAATTCGCAGTACTCAGTCTTTGGGTCCTGTTCTTGTCTGTATCCACAATCTTTTTCTTGTTAATCTTAACCATTCATGTGGCTTGAAATTTCATCTGTATTGTAATGTTATCCAATTTTACATTTCTAGCTCAGATCTATCATCTGAACTTCAGATGCGTATATTCCAGTTGCCAACTGAACACCACCACTTGGTTTTCTAGTATACACATTAGACTCAACATGTTCAAAATCTATCTCCTGGTCTCCCTTCAATTCAGAAACCTCTACACTCACAGCCTTCCACATCTCAGTTTATGACAACTCTGCCATTCCTGTTGATCAGACTAAAAAACTGAGAGAAACATTTTATTCCTTTTTTTTCTTTTATATCTTGCATCCAATTCCACAGGAAATAATATAGACCCTACCTTCAAAATGCATTCAGAATCTGGGCACTTTTTTTCACTGCCAGTGCTCTCCTATGATTCCAAGCTAAAATTATATCTTGGCTTTATTGCTGATAGAGCATCCTTACAGGCTTCTGTTTCTACCCCGTTTCCTTACAGTTTTTTCTCAATATGGCATCTAGTGTGAATATTTTAAAGCATAAGATCATATCGTTCCCTTACTCAAAACCCACTAGTGACTCACCTCTTCCCATTTCACTTAGAGTAAAAGCCAAAGTCCTTATAATGGCTGCAGATTCAACGACATCTTACTACCTGTTACCTTTCTGACCTCATCTACCACAGCTATAGGACATTTCCTTTGCTTGCTGAGATGGCACCAACTGGCTTTCTTGCTATTCTTCATAACCACCAGCCATTCTCTTGCCTTAGACCTGTTCTCTATCTCTTCCCTTTGTTGTGAAA